GTTACTGTGAGGTCTTTTACTCTTTTACTGTGTTTTGTTTTTATTGTTTACTTATGGAATTAGGATCTACAGGAAAGGAGGATTTAAACCAATAAAATTTATTTTTCTGAAATATCTTATTTCTTATTACAGTAATCTTCGATAATTAAGTTCTACTATTTACTATTGTGAATATCTGCTTTAAATTATTTACAATTGTAAAACTTTAGGAGCGTTAAGTCAGTTGCCAATTATCTTGCTTTGACTGTAACAGTAATATGAACTAATAAAATTTTATTTTTCTAAGATATCTTATTTCTTATTATAGTGATCTTCGATAATCAAGTTCTGCTATTTACTATTGTGAATATCTTGCTTGAAACTTTAGGAGTGCTAAATCAGTTGACAAAGAGAGTTATCTTGCTTTTTTTTTATGAGATATCTTGTTTCTTATTATGATAATCAAGTTTTGCTATTTACAATTGTGAAACATTAGGGGCGTTAAGTCAAGAGTTATCTTGCTTTGTGAATCTTTAGGGGCATTAAGTCAGTTGACAAATGAGTTATCTTGCTTTTGACAGTAACTTTAATAAGTTTTTGTAATCAAGTTCTATTGTGAAACTTTAGGGCCGTTAAGTTAGTTAACAATTATCTTGCTTCGACTATAACAGTAATATGAATTAATAAAATTTTATTTTCCTGAGATATCTTATTTCTTATTACAGTGATCTTTGATAATCAAGTTCTGCTATTTACTATGGTGAATATCTTGCTTTAAATTATTTACTATTGTGAAACTTTAGAGGCGTTAAGTCAGTTGACAAGAGTTATCTTACTTTAAATGCATCAATTATTTACTGTTGTGAAACTTTAGAGGTGTTAAATCAGTTGACAATTATCTTGCTTTGACTGCAGTAATATGAACCAATAAAATTTATTTTCTTGAAATATCTTATTTCTTATTACAGTAATCTTCGATAATCAAGTTCTGCTATTTACAATTGTGAAACTTTAGAGGCATTAAGTCAGTTGACAAAGAGAGTTATCTTGCTTTTTTTTTCATGAGATATCTTGTTTCTTATTATGATAATCAAGTTCTGCTATTTATAATTGTGAAATATTAGGGCGTTAAGTTAGTTGACAAAGAGAGTTATCTTGCTTTGTGAATCTTTAGAGGCGTTAAGTCAGTTGACAAATGAGTTATCTTGCTTCTGACAGTAACTTTAATAAGTTATTGTAATCAAGTTCTATTGTAATATGAACTAATAAAATTTATTTTCCTGAGATATCTTATTTCTTATTACAGTGATCTTTGATAATCAAGCTCTGCTATTATTTACTGTTGTGAAACTTTAGAGGCGTTAAATTAGTTGACAAGGATTATCTTACTTTAAATGCATCAATTATTTACTGTTGTGAAACTTTAGGGGTGTTAAGTCAGTTGATGATTATCTTGCTTTGACTGCAGTAATATAAACCAATAAAATTTATTTTTCTGAAATATCTTATTTCTTATTATAGTAATCTTCGATAATCAAGTTCTGCTATTTACAATTGTGAAACTTTAGAGGCGTTAAGTCAGTTGACAAAGAGAGTTATCTTGCTTTGTGAATCTTTAGAGGCGCTAAGTCAGTTGACAAATGAGTTATCTTGACAATTATCTTGCTTCAACTGCAGTAATATGAACTAATAAAATTTTATTTTCTGACAATACTATTTGTGAAACTTTAGAGGCGTTAAGTCAGTTGACAAAAGAGTAATACAATAAAATTTTATTTTTCCTGAGAAATCAATTGCTGATTTTAGGCCTGAGTTAGGATTAGAGATAGGTATATTTTGGTCATTGTTGTGCCTACTATAAGCATGTGCTCGTAGCAATCCATTGTTAACAGAGTTCTTTTTCTAATTGTAATTTGACAAAATCAAGAGATATGGGGTCTTTGCTAGAATTTTTTCTAAAAATAGATTTATTATGTTTTCTTAATAAAAATCTTGTATAACAATGGCTCATAAGGTCATTTGCTAGCAAAGATCCATATCTTGTTTGTGTCAATTGTGAAACTTTTGGGTGCTTCGAAAAAATTACATGTATGGAACTGTATCTCGAAAGCTATAATTAATTGAGTTAATAAACTTTAGGGGATGTGAAAATAAATAACTGTTTTCATATATCCAATGGATTTATTAATTAATTTAATACGTTTCACATAAACTTTTTTTTGTTTTCATATTATAATACATTTTAAATCTTAATAAATTTTCAATTAAATTTAAATCTTAATAAAGTTTTAAATGAATCAATTTAAAATTTAACATAATTATTATTCATTTAACATAATTATACGTAAAAATTAATCTTATTAAATGAACTAGAAAAGAATTAAATAATTAATAAATTAAATTTAATTTGAATTTTGCCAAAAATAATTTGTACTAAAATTATGTAAAATTAAAGACACTTACTTTATTGAATTTCTATTTTTAGCTTGTAATTTTCTACTATTTTATTAAGCAAAGTCATAAATTCCGCTGGCTCAACTTCTTGAAGATAATTAAATGTAATATTCAAATATCTTATTTCTTCAAAAAAATCTTCAAGACAAATATCATTACTTTTTTTTATTACAAGCACAACCAAATTGTAAGCCTTTCTCCAACGTGATATTTCTGTACTACATCTATCAGGAATAGATTGTTTGATCAATTTATTTATTTCATGATCTTTTTGAGTTTAAAAATCAAAAGATTTTTGTAAAAAGAATCATATATCAGTTTGAATTGAAAGAATTTACTATAAACTTCTGCCCAGTCTTGGTTAATTTTATTTTGTCTTTTGTATTTAGCAGTGATTGATTTAAAGTTTTCCATTCAACTGAATTATATGTTTTTGACTTTGTTGTTACTGGTGAAACGGTTGGAATAAATAATTCTTTATTATCAATTTGACTAATATAAATGTTTGTATTAGTAGTTTTCTTTTTTTTTAGAGGAACAGTGGAATTTATTTCTCGAACCCGTTTTTTGTAGTCATTAGATGACTCGGATTCAATATCACTCATTATGAAGGAGAGAGTTCTTAAATTCAAAAGTTGTACGTACATAAATTCCCTACATATATGTGATACCTAAATCTGCATGAAGATGAATACCATTATATAATTTCGGAAAGATTTTTGAAGATCTTTACTTCATTGTATGTTAATATTAGTTTAATAAATTAAAAAAAGCCTATTTTACAAAAATATCAATACAGATGTTCAAACTATTCACTACCATAAATTCTATTCACAAGAAAACCAATCCAAGTTGGATAAATTGAAAATTTAATACGGCACTAACCCATCATAATCTGGATGTCCGAACCCATGACATTCTAACTTTATTTCACCAAAAAAGTCTCTTATTTGATCTATTATATACCAAAATTTATATTGATCATACCAAAAGTTCCATGCATAATTGGCTCGTAAGGTTTAATGTACAAATATGAATAGTGGGATTTTTTGACACTATTAAATTAATTATAAATCAATATAAGTTTGTAATATAGGAAAGAGAAAATAAAGTTTGCTTATTCATAAATAATAAAAAGTATTAAAACCTTCATAAGAAGAATTACTGCAAGGCTTACTATCAAATTCCACCCACTATAAACTTTGTTTTTTCTGTCTAAGACAATTTCTTTCAATTTTTGATAGATCAAATAAGGAAGAGCTTTCACATGTTTTAATCTAATATCCTCTTTTTGTATTAAATTCATTTTAATAATTTTGGTTCTTGAAATTTTAAATAATAGAAATTCTAAGAAAAACGTAGCTATTTTATACTATTTCTTTTAATTCTTATAAAATTAATGTATATTATTTATCACATATAATATTTTTTAAATTGAGTAACAGAAGATCAGTTTCAATATATTAAAAATTTATACATCATTAGCTCTATAGATAACAGTACAGACTTCAGAGTTTGATTTTGCTGTTTTGTAAAACAGGTAATACGAATTATGCAATACCGCACAAAGAATTAAACATTAAACTTTGGTTATATACAGTAATTCACGGAGCTTCATTTTGACATTTTGTAGAAATAGTGCATATAAAAAAAAAAATTTAAAATAAACCTTATTATATCAGTTTGATGTTTTGTAAAATAGATAATATGAATGACTGTGGTGAAGATAGCATAAATTAAGTCAAATAAGAATTAATCATTTCTTTATTTAAAAAGTATATTTAAAAATAAATTTATCAAACATAGTATTTATATTTTTTTCACATATTTGTATGCTGAAAAAATTTTAATTAAAAAATACACGTATTAATTGCATAACAGATTAGCACTATATACACGAAAAATATTATTAATCATACTTATCTTGGAGTTTCATTTAATGCTTTGCAAAATAGATAATACAAATAACCGTAGCAAATATAGCATAAATTAAAACAAAATTGTTTTAATTATTTCCTTATTTGAACAAGTTCATTACGAAAAAATGTATTAAAAGAATTATATAAAATCTAGTTTTCAGAATTGACTAAAAATTACAATTACAAAATGTCAAGTAAAAAGCTCTTAGTGTTATTGCAAAAAATTGCATATTTTCTTTTGCTGAAAATTTTTTATACAATTTTTCTGATTTTAATTTTTTTGACTTCTTTGATTATTGCTATTTTGATTTTTGCATCTTCGATATTAATTTTGAATATAATTCTGATTCCATCTTTCTTGTTGTTTCCTTGGTCTCGTTATCGGGTTTTCCGTATTATTTACGAGTACTATCTACAAATCCGAATCTATTTGCTCAGATAATATGATGAAAAGTAGACGTTCATCAAAATGAAAATCAATTCAACCTATCTTCATTGAGATATTTTCAAATTTTATTTATCTAGAAACAAAGTCTTTTTTAATTCTGAATTTTTGCCTCTTTCTTACTTCAATACTACAATTTCCTCTTTTTTATTTAAAATAAAAAAATTTTTAACTAATTTAAATCTAAAAATCATGAAAAAAACTTTTTATCTTGCAATATTCTTAATGCTCTTATTTTATATTATATTTTTTTCCTGTCCTGATATTACATCTATTATATTCAGGAAATTTTCCAGAAGATTGAGACTTTATTTTGTTGTATCAATAATGAAAAAATACTTTTGTTGTATTTAATATTCAAATTTAATCCGGTAGAACACAAACTCAATATTCATAAAGAAATTGATAATTTTATGCATATTAAGGATATCAATAATAAAGATCAACTAAATGAAAATATAGATGAAAGATTAAGTCTTTCAATAGAACACTTTCATGATTTCACAATTAATGATAATCAAAAAAAAATCTTAGTTAAATCATTTAATTCCTATTTGGAGAAAGACCAAATAAATACTAAAAAATTGAATATAGAT